CTATATGTTTGTGTGCACACACCCACACACACACACACACACACACCACACACACACACGCACGCGCACACGCACACGCACACGCACATGCACACGCACACGCATACACGCACACGCACAGGCGCTTCAGGAAGCAGAGGGTTGAGAGACGAGCACAGCTCATGCCAGGCCCCGAACACTGGTCACAACATCCCTACAAAGGTATGTTTATTGGCAGGGCATTGTGGGATTTCCAGCCCCAGGGAACCCAGAAAGCTAACACACTCATGGACACAGAGGTTAAACCTAAAGTAATCTGGAAATTATTGCAGGCAGGGTTAGCAATTGACCAGGGCTTCCTTTCCTCTATTCAAACACTTGATTGACATTTGGTGCTCCAAAATTTTTCAGCAAGACTAAAGGAATAAAACAGTCATGACACACATAACCTGATTATTAAGCCACTTGTCCCTTCAGCACATTTATTAGACTCCAAGCCTAAGTGCAACTGGGGTGGGGACACACAGTGAACAGGTGACTGACAGGCCTAAGTCTGTTAGATGGGATGACTCTCAGTGGCATCACTCAATAAAAGGAAAGAGTCCCTCATTAAAGTCCTTGTCAAGCTTGCTTTGAGGCAGCTAAGGGACAGATAAAAGAGTCAAGGTATTTTTAGTCTTTCTTTCTACCACTTAGAAAAAAATCTTTTCAAGTTTGACAGAGATGTTGCTGGGAATTACAGAGAGGTCAAATCTTGCCTGTGACAAAGCTAGCCCATTCTAAGGGCTCCTGATGCTCAGAATACCGTGTCCTCCCAGGAGGAGGGCACTGGGAGGATCTAATAGGCTGATCTTCTCCCAGTGAGGTCACTGCCTTGATAGCTATTTCTGTAGTCTCATAAAAACACAATGTCATTCCAGAGATTCCATGTTACAATGACATTACCACGTGCCCAGATAAGATATCAGACCGCCATATCCGTTTACAGATGGACTTGTAAAATGTTCATTAACTGGCTCATGTCCATCGACATCTAATGACTGTTAGGAGGTTCTGTTCCCAACCTAATGGTGCATTTTCTTCCTAGTGACAATTACCAACACTGAGGCTATCGGATTAGCCTTCTGAGATGAACTCATTATTAATTCCCTACTGGACTCCTAAACCTGTCTTTTCTACTATTATGTTTTAAGTTGTGGGGTTCCCTAGGAGTCAGAGTTAAATAAGGAGACTACATGACCAGGCTTATCAATAGAATTTCAGCTCATTAATTTGTCATCTGAAGAGCATCTGCAAGTGACAGGTGTGTACAGGTGAAGGCAAGTGCAGACATGGGCAAGGGACAGACTTTCCAGGGTCAAGAAAAAATGAGATTTTGTTCATTATTCCTCACTGCCATCACCAACACGGGTATAGCCAGGAAGGCCAGTATGAAGCCACTGAGTTCTTAAGAATGGTGGCATTGGGTTACATCATTTCTGGGCATCCGTATCCTCTTAGCAAGGCTGCTATGCATGGGTCTTCACTGCTGACTAGCCAGCTCTCCGTCCTTTTTGAGTCATGCACAACTAAGACAACCCGGCACTACCTCATCAGCAGGTGGAATCTGGTAAAGTCAGCATCATGGCGGTGTCAAGGGGCTGCACAGGGCCAGGTGAAGGAGTGACAAGGGAAGCTACTTCACCCATCATCCATTAACCATCACTGCTCAGTTATTGCCAAGAGGAGTCCCAGAAATCAGGCAGGGAAGACTTAATTCCAGAATCCAACCTGATGTCTTTGCAGCATGCAGTCTATCAATCCTTCCTGCAGTGCAGCTCCTGTTTGAGAGAACACCCAAGTGTCTGTAGGCACTCCCCTCCCAACCCCAAATAAGCCCCAGTGAAGACAGGCTGGGTGAATCAGCTTTGAAGGATCTGGACTTTGCCGGACCAAGCTGTGGTTAAAAACAAGAGTCCCCAATCCACACCATCCAGGTGCCAACCAAAAGAGAACAGAGACTCTAAAGGTCTCACCCCACCCCCAAACATTTCTCTCTACTGAAGGCAACCCTAGACTACAGAAAACCACATTGCAACTTTCTAGTCACAGCAATGGAAGGAACACTAGTGTTAGCTGACCAGAGTTCCTCTCCCACTGTCAATACCAAGTCCCAAGGGGTAGCCCAGAAGCAGGCATCCTGCTGGGACAGGACTGGGGTATGCCAGAGGCCAGTCACCCCACTGCAGACATGGACTGAACCCTGAGTCGTTAGTACTTACTTAGTTTTACCACCATTTTTAACCTGTGCTTCTCCACTAGTAACTCAGTATCACTGAAGGGAAGGACCAACTCTTTTTAAAAACATTTTTATTTATTTATTATGTATACAACATTCTGCTTCCATGTATATCTGCACACCAGAAGAGGGCACCAGAACTCATAACAAATGGTTGTGAGCTACCATATGGTTGCTGGGAATTGAACTCAGGACCTCTGGAAGACCAGCTGGTGCTCTTAACCTCTGAGCCATCTCTCCAGCCCCAAGGACCAACTCTTGAGGGTGTTTTGTCTCTATTCCCTCTAGTGTCCTCACACCCTGCACTCCAAGCAGGCTCATGCCATACACAAAGATCCTGTGTGGGTCCTTCATGAACCTTTACATACAAACTCATCAAGACTCTGTAAAGCACTAGAGCCGATGTGGTGTGAGCCCTCGTTGCTATTGTAGAGGACCAGGGTTCAGTTCCCAGCATCCACATGGCAGGCAACTCAAGTTCCAAGGGATCCCACACTGTCTTCTGACCTCTAAGAGCACCAGACACCCATGACGCACAGACATACTCATAGGCAAAAGCTCATGTGCATAAAATAAATAAATCTAAAGGTACTTCTAAGAATCAGTCAAGTTTCTCAGGTTTCCCACTATGGGAATCAGCTGACCCCCAGTGCCCTAGATCAGGAACCCCTACAGATGAGATGTTGTTTTGTAGCTGCTACATCAGGTCATCGCTTGCCTGAAACACAGCCACATTTATATTTTTGGTTGTTAGCCTAACCTTTAACGGCTGATCCATCTCTCCAGCCTACACAACCAGATTTAATCTTTGCATTTCCATCTTATTGAAGAAACAGAGACACTAATCAAGTCAATGGCCAAAAATCTGTGGCACTGGGTATACATGTCAAAAGATTTGCCCATAGTCACCACAATGGCCTCTCTACACCTACACACAGCTCCAGTGACAGCTGTGTGCCAACCCTGGTGCCTATTGTACACATCATAGTTGCTGCATAAACTTGAATACTTGGTTCAGATATTTGAGCTGACTAGACTTTTCTAGAAAAGAGAAATAAAACCTACCACAGGCCAAACACCACTTGTTCCCTTTGCCCTCATCAGAAACCCTGCCTTGTAAAAGACACCATCACCTAGCATTCCTTCAGCCCCTAAACCAAGTGTGGCCTCACACTGCAATATGAGAACACCCCAATTTCACCCTAAAACGAATCCACCACAATAAAAGGAAGACACCTGAGGCCTGGGTTAGACTTTTTATTTTTGGAATTTGTTGCTTTTAAATGTGTTTGTGTGTTTGCCCATGTGAGTGGAAGCCATGTTGGTGTAGGTACCCATAGGAACCAGAAGAGGGTGCTTCTCCCTGGAGCTGGAGTTACAGGTTGTTTGTAAGCTGCCCAGATTTTTGTCTTTAAGATAGTGTCTCCTCCCAAGGCTAACCTGAACTACCTGTGGATCTCAGGTTGCCCTCAAATTCCTGCTCAGCCTGCCTCATCCTCCCAATGCCAGTACAGGCTCACAGCAACTGCCATGTTCTCCACTCACAAGGCCGAGGCAGTGGCCTAGGTGCTTCAGCACATTTCCCGACTGGTAGGCTGGGTGCTGCAGGCATGGTGGACTGGGGCCCACACCTCCCGAAGCCTCAACAGTAGCTTTAAACCTAAAGCTGTAACTTTGGTTTGACTCTAACAATTCCAGAGCAGTAAGATCTTACTAGGTGGTCTTTGCCTTTTCTTGGCTCATCAAGTAGGCTTGTGGGAAACAGTTCTTCCCCGGGGTAATTAGCTTTAGAAATCATCATTGTGTATAAAACAGGAAATTTCAAACACACACACACAACACACACACAACACACACACACAACACACACATACACAACACACACACACAACACACACACACACAACACACACACAACACACACACAACACACACACAACACACACACAACACACATACAACACACACACACACACACACACACACACACACACACACACACACACACGAAGAGAGCTGGGTGCAGCAGCATTCATACCCTTATAATCCCAGTACTTGAGGCAGAAGACTGCCATGAGGTTGAGGCTAGCCTGTCTGAAAGAAGAGAGAGAGTTGAGGGAGAGGAAAAGGAAAAAGAGGGAGGAGGAGGGAGTGGAGGAAGAAGGAAAGGAGCCCCTGAATGACTGGGTCTCATCTGCCTATGGTTTACCCATGGGATGCTTTCAAGTTGAGAAGAGCCAACCTTCAATCCCTAATCTTGCCTTCCCTCCCTATTGACTACATCAAGTGAAAACTGAGACCAGAGTAGCCTTCCAGATCAGTGCAAGGCACTGTCAAGAGTTTTATTTTTGTTGCATTTTGCAGTAAACATAACCATTGTTACAGGCTCATCTACTGCTAGAAGATAATACCCCAAAAGAGGCAATAAAAAGAACGTAAATTTCCTACAGCAGGGACTCCAGGGACTCTCACAGCAACACTGGGTCTAGTCACACACATAGTGACAGTCAGGTGGGAAGAAGGGAATGGTTCTACCCTACCATATTCTCACACGGCTCCGCAGTGGGAGACCCCAGGTAGAGCCCACAGGGAAGCTGGCCAGCGATCTTTTAAGAGCTATATCTTCCTCTACGGTCTCCATCTTTCTCTGATGGACTTTCTGGGAAACATGGATCTGAGAGCCACATCTGCTCTTCAACACCTCCTCTGCCTCAGTCACCAGCTTCCCTTGTTGCTATGGAAACTTAGACAGTGACAAGACACAATATGAGGGCTGCTAAAGGATGTCCCTTGGATACAGAAAAATGCCCAAGGTCAATAGGTTAGAAAATGAGTCTCCAAGATGTCAATATTCTAAAATGCTGAAAAATTCAAACTAGACACCTTATGTGTGACAAATCAAAATGCAACTTGGCTTAATTCAGATAGATCTGGATTCTACTGAATTCATGTGAGATATTCTGATTATCCTTCTATTCTGAATTATCAAATTAGTATATTTTCCTATTGTCAAAAAGCCATAAAAATCAATAAACACACATACATATATACATATACATTATACTTAAAGCATTAAAGTATAGAAATATAATGTGTAAAGTGTTTGTAGGCCTGTGATTTTCAGATAAACAGCTTTTCACACCTTTGAAGTTATCCCTAGTGTGTCTTATGGAAATAAACATGTGAGTACCAGTGACTTTCTACATGATCAAGGGACTCCTAATGTCTGGACCTCAGTTATGAATGTTTTAAGAAGATAAAAATCAGCTGTGTAAAGTCCCAATCAATTCCTATGACATCAGAACAACTATAACTCATGTTACACTGACAACTAGAACAAGGGGTGGTTACTAGCTGAAACACATTAGAAGAACAGCATCAAGCCAGTTGATATACGGACATTATGCAGAGCACAGCTGTCATCGGGATCTTACCTTAGAGACTCTATGTCAAGCTGATACTCAGTCTCCCAGGTGACACTTCACTACAAGACTCCTAAGTGAGGTAATGTGTGAAAGTCAGCTAATCAGCCACTGGTCATGACTGAATCCACCCTGAAGGAGCTGGGCAGCCAAAGAGTCCCCTTCTTTTCAGTATACCTGGGGGGAAGGGTTAAACAGAGTATTATTAGAAAGAGGAGATGTTACTAATGCCTGCTCTCCAGGGAGGTACATTCTGGGTCATTCTAGACACACTGGAAATAATCACACCAATTAACAGGCCACAAGAAGAAACCACTGAGTTTTAAGATGGTAGCATACAGTCTGTGTTCTGTAAACATGCTGCTATAAAATTATGGTTTGGGGATAGTTCTCCTTGTGTTATTCCAGCTAGCCTTAAAATGGTGACTCTACTTACTTCTTTGCCCTAGAATTTTTTTCAAGCAAGCAAAAAAAAAAAGTCCCATGTGACTGCAAAGCAAATAATCCCTGAGTTCAAAATGAATCCAAAAGAAAAATTCAAAAACACACACATCAAGGTATGTCAACTTTAACAGCAGTGCAGCTAAAGTAATAGCAGGAACCACGTGGTTCTAAGTAAGTTTACCAAGACACAAGAAAGACGAAAAACAAACAATCTTAAGTAAAATGGGTAAAACCCAACATGCACTTAAAAGTGGTAGCTCTGTTTAGCACTGTTTTCTCAGACTTGAAGGATATAAAATCACACCCATGAGGCTGAGGGTACTAATGCCTTACACCTGTAAATAGAAAGAAAAAAAAAAACTCTTTGAAGTCAGCAGAACATAGATTTAGTTAAACAGCCACTCGTGTATAAGTACAAGGGAAAATGTCCCTGTTCCTTCTGGTTTCTGGCCAAGATGGGAGATTCCCTGGTTAAAGTGTGGTTTTGTGAAATAAAGCAATGTGTTGCCGAGAACCTGTGCCCACCACGCTGTCATTTTAACATGTCCTATGCACTTTGTCTCCAGCTAGGACGAACTCTGAGGAGCCCCTTCATGAAGTTTGTAGCCCATGCGGTGTCGTTTACAATCTTCTTGGGACTGTTAGTTGTGAATGCATCCGACCGGTTTGAGGGGGTTAAGACCCTGCCCAATGAGACCTTCACAGACTACCCCAAACAGATCTTCAGAGTGAAAACCACGCAGTTCTCCTGGACGGAGATGCTCATCATGAAGTGGGTCTTAGGTAAGCCGACCGCTTTCACGCCCCCTCTGACGACAACATCACCAACTTCTAGGCTCCCCACATACTCCTGGCTGATGAAATGGCCAGCACAAAAGTCAAGAGGGTGTACAAGAGGCAACAGAAACCCCAGTTTTGAAAGGAAATGTTCAGGGAGCATATCTGCTAGCTACTCTTCTATACAGATGTACTGATTATTATAAAGTGGTTACCTAGGAAACACGTTGACCATTTAGTCCCCTACAAGTCTTAGGACAAGCATGTTCAATGAAGGGTAAAATTTCATAGCTTAAAGGAAAGTGTGTTGATCCCAATATGCAGAATTTGTGTTCTTCCAGCAGGCTTATCTATCCATCTGTGCTCAAAAGGAGGCGTGTGGATTGAGGAAAAAAATAGCTTAAGAGACAGAGAGAGTCAGGAGAGCAGCCAGTGACTACTGGCATGAGCCCCAAGTTCTTATATACCCCAATCAAAGGGGAGAAGGCAAAAGACTTCCTCATTGGGGCTAGAGAGATGGCTCAGAGGTTAAAAACACTGGCTGGGCTGCTCTTCCAGAGGACCTGAGTTCAATTCCCAGCAACCACATGGTGGCTCACAACCATCTGTAATGAGATCTGGTACCCTCTTCTGGAATACAGGCAGACATGTAGTCAGAACACTGTGTACATAATAAATAAATCTTTTTTAAAAAAATCTTATTAGATTTTATTTTAAAAAAAAAAAAAGACTTCCTTAGGAACAAATGTAATTACCTCCTTAACACCCAAAACACCAAGTAACCACACCCTAAACCAGATAATCCTATTATTTAGGTAAGACATCCAGTAGCTACACCTTAGGCCAAATATCCTGTTGTCTAGGCAAGGCATATAATAGCCATACTTAAGCCAAACATACCATGGTTTGACCTTGAAGGAGCAATAATAGGTTCGAACTCTCTGACCTTAAGTCAAGATGGAACGGAGCCACTTCTATGGGCCTCCACAAGTTTGTATAGTAAATATTACCTAAAATTCAGAAAGTATCTTAGTTTCTACCACTACGATAAAGATCTTCACTAAAAGCAATTGGGGAAGAAAGGGTTTATTTGGCGTACATATCCCAGGCACGGTCTACTGAGGAAAGTCAGCGCAGGAACTGAATCAGAGGCAATGGCGGAGTGCTGCTCACTAGCTTGCTTCTCCTAGCTTACTCAGCTTGCTCTGTTACATAAAGAAGGACACACCCAGACATGGCACTGCCTACAATAGGCTGGGACCTCCCACATCAATCACTGGTCAATAAAATGTCTACAGAGTCACTCACAGTCCAGCACAATGAAGGTATTTTCCCAGTTCAGGTTCCCTCTTCCCAATGACACTAGTTTATGTCAAGATGGGGAAAAAAAACTAACCAATATAGAAAGTAACGTGTACTATTTGTTTAAATTAGTGTGGTAAAGGTTGCAAAATTCCTATCTGTAGTGATATTTTTGCTGCCAAGGTTTGCCACTAGAATTTCCTAGGAAATGGCTCCCAATTGATAAACTCAGAAGAAAAGTGAAACTGGAAATGGCTAAAATTAAATGTAGAAAAGTGCTATTGCTTTCTCTTTCTAACACTGAAAACTGCAAATAGATCAAAGGAGGAAAAACATCTCAGGGAGGAAATATTGAAAACTTGCCAAAGCTATTATCAATAATATAATAAATAAGGAAAACCTTAATAAATTGTAAGCTTTATACTGCAAAAATTCAAATTTAATGGTGATATTTCTAGTGAAATAAAAGTTTTTAAGGAACTGAAATTTATGCAGTAACAAGAGTTGATCAATTAATTAAATTGGCTTAACAGTATTCCCCCAGATTTTGCTTTGGTGGCAAATATTTAACATGTATAATTGTCACTATGTTTATAAGTATTGTCAAAAAAAGTATTCCGGATCAAAGTGTTTGTGCCACCTAACAGCAAAATCATGAACAGTTATGTAAAAAGAGTGTGCAACACACGGCCTGTACTGACGCGTGGGCCCAAGAAGATTACAAGAGAGGAACCACCAGTGAGCATTATGGGTGCCTAAGCTGAGACCAACTGGAAATATGGACCACAAAAGAGGATGCTTTGACCTAGGACAGTCCAGACAGCACACCATGCTTCTCAGAGACATTTGATCAACTGGCAAGTCTGTGGCCAAAGAACTCTTTAGTCAAGTCACTGACCCTAATGCTAGAAAGAGACACTGAAGCCTACACAGCCTGGGAGAGACACACCTCCAGCTAGGAAGCCTCTGACTCACACAGCCTGATTCCCATCTCTGCCATGAAAGCAGAGCTGAATTCATATCTGACGTGTTGGAGAAGACAAGAACCACACACAGTAACCTCTTTCTTGCCAAGTTTAATTTAGAATAAAGATTCTACTTTCTTACTAAAGGGGGAAAATTGCAAAATATTAGTTAATTTAAAAAATACAAAACTCAAGAGAGAAGCAGGATGAGCCCCATGTACCTATCTCTCATCTTCAATAATGAAGAAACGAATCCTATCCATGGCCAATCTTGCCCCTTCCCCTTTTCCTTTACCCAGTGTCATTTTGAAGCAAGATTGGGAATCATAAAAATTTCAACTGTAAAAAAAATCTGTATTGTTGCCAGGTGTAGTGGCACACGCCTTAACCCCAGCACTTGGCAGGCAGAGGCAGGTGGATGTCTGTGAGTTCAAGGCCAGCCTGGTCTCCAGAGTGAGTTGCAAGGCAGCCAGAGCTATGTAGAGTACTGCAAAACAGTGAAGTCTTGTTTTCTTCTTTCCATTCCCATGCCCTCTCTGCTTCATGGTAATGGTTTATTTACCATGTCTGTGAATTTTACTCCCAATGAATTGTTTTCACTTCAGATGTACTTTTCAATTCATGAAATTCATATTCTTTTCATATTTCTCAATTCTGTTTATATTTTTATATTGCCCTTTTCCTTCCTCAGTGTCTTTGCATTTCCCTGTAAATCCCTGAATATACTGGATATATTCATGGTGCCTTTCAAATCTTGACCATCACTTTTGTGTAATTGCCAAAGGCTGCTCTTTCTCTGATAAACTGGCATTTATCAATATTGATCGATAGTACTTCATACATTGTGTTGCTGAACATCTGAGTTTTGTTGTCAGACTCCATTTCTGTTGCTATAACAGAAAAAGGAAGGCTGAGTAATCATCCCATAAGGCAAAGGGGGTTACTCTGCCTCTTGGTTGTGGAGGCAGTTACCTCACATGGGGCAGCTGCATCTGACAGAACCTCATGGAATGGGGGGGGGGGGCAAGTGGGTGAGTGACTATGTGATCCCTGGCCTTGCTTCAACATAACACGGGGCAAAGGAAAAGGTGGAGTGGGCAAGACTGGCCCTGAACCCTAATGTGGAAGGACAAAGCCAAGTGCATCAAAGAAGACACTGGAGGCAGCTTCACCCCATGAGGACCCCTTCATGAGGACCCCCTTCACCACTCCTCCATGGGAGCAAGAAGCCACTAATATGAGGAAAGCATTAACCCGCACCCATGACCCAACACCCCCAGCTGGGCCCAACCTCCCAACTCTGGCACACTGGGCACTGAGCCTCAACCTAAGTTTTGTCAGGGACAAGCCATCGTCAACCCACAGCAGTGGTCTTCCTCATTAAATGTAGCTGTATGCGCATCAGCTTGAGTCATTTTTCACGTTTCCTCAGAGTGCATCTCCAGAACTTCACCATAAGGACTATTTATTTCTGTGCTATAGAGACTCGCTTCTGGGGTCTTTACTGGGGTCTCAGGTGTCAACAAGGCCTTTCAGTTCTGGGTGGTCACAGCTCAGTGTCTCCCCACCCATGTGAGCTCTCTGGCTGTTTTGTGTGGAATTCCATTCCATGTGTTGGTGGCTAGGACTCAGTCATGGACTCTACTTAGACATCCAGTCAGGTTTGCTTTGGGGCTTGCACAGCACCCTTCCCTCGGGAGCTCTGCCACGTGACATCTGGTCACCTCTGCCTCTTCAGCCAGTGACCCTACGCCTACACTCTGAACTCCCTCTTAAGCACCGCAGATGGGGTTGGGTTTCTAGAAAGAATGCCTGCCTTGCCACTGGCTTCCCTTCACTCAGGGGCCAAACTCCTGGGCTGCCTTTTTCTGATGTCTGCAAACGGTTCTTCATTTACCCAATTTCTGGGTACATAAAGCAAACACAACCTCTGAAACAGAAACCCTTATCAAAGCTAAGGAGGCCAGGCATGATAGCACATACTTGTAATCGTTGCAACTTTGGAGGCTGAGGCAGGAAAATCACCAGTCCAAAGCCCTCCTGAGATACAGAGGAAGACCCTGCCTGGAAGAGAAAAGGGGACAGGAGAGGGGGGACAGGCTGGGAGCGACAGGGAGATCCTCAGGATGGGAGAACAAAGGGGAATAATGCCTTTCTATCTCCCTACATCTAATCAGCAATCCATCTTCATTAAGAGAGAGGCAAGTGGACTCCTCTCTCCCTTTGGGTCTTCAGATTCCACCAAACAGTTTAGCAGCTAGAGAGTGCCTTGCCCCCACTGTGGGGGGGCTGAAAGCACGCAGGACAGAAAGGGTGGTGTTCCCTAAAGCCTAGAATCAAGAGCAAGTTGGACTTGTTCCAAACAAGTATTTCTGAGATCTTTACATTCAGAGAGGAGAGGTGATCGCAATGGGTGTAGAGCCTTTGTGAGTTTTAAGAAGTGACATTATATGGCTTCAGTTTTCCCAAGAGTGCCGAGTTTAAAATGGGTGGTTGTGGGACAAGAGCAGAAGCAGGTATGAGTTACGAAGCCCCTACAATACCAAATGGTTCATTAGAACAGGCATCAGAGGGGCACACTGTGAAGGTAAAAATCAATATTTACTACTGAATTACTCGTGAAATGTGAGAAAAAGAGAACTGTCAGGGACAACTTGTAGTGTTTTAGCTTGCAAAATGGTATCAAAGAGAGCCATTCACCAGGATGGGGAAGACCAGGGCAGAGCAACTGGGGGTGAG